AAAAAAAAAAATGTGAATTTTAAAAACATAGCACAATGCTGCTGTGATTTCATGTCATGAATTTGCCAATGTTATGAGAACTGGATTGTAAGGGAGAAAGAGCAGAGGCATTAATAATAGGAGCTCTCACTTACTGAACTTTTACCATGATCCAAATACTCTACTAAGGTCTTTTGGTAAGCTAATTCCTCAATCCTCCTCAATGTGGTAGATACTATATCAGGTGGAACCTAGCCATTTCTGTAGGTCAAAAATGGTCAATTATCAGCAATTTCGTATGGTTTAATCTATCATCTGGCCCAGATTGGAGAAAGTGAAACAGACTAAGTGATCTAAGTTAAAATAGCCAGTACCTGGTAAAGTCAGGTTTTCAAGCCACACAGCTTTATGTCCATGACCAATATGCTATATAAATTCCCAGCAAGAAAGCAGGTCTAATACTTTAGGAGGTACAACCTCTAATTTTTTATGAAAGATTTTATTTATTTATTTGACAGAGAGAGACAGCGAGAGAGGGAACACAAGTAGGGGGAGTAGGAGAGGGAAAAGCAGGCTTCCCGCTGAGCAGGGAGCCCCATCCATGTGGGGCTCGATCCCATGACCTGAGGGGAGGACAGACGCTTAACTACTGAGCCACTCAGGCGCCCCGAACCTCTAAGTTTTAATCACGAATTATTTCCGTGGTATTAGAGAATATACAAGTCAAAACAATAATGCCACAGAAAATTCAGCTTAAGGATCAAATATTTACATTAATTAAAATATCCCATGCTTGTTCCTGCTTCTGGCATACCCTTCTCTTCAAAGAATTCTTACCTTCATTCAGCCAACAAATATTCACTCAAAATCAGGCTCAATCTCTAACCACCTACTAGAAGGAGCTTCTTTTCCACTTCACCCTGAATTCTTACCAACTGGAATTTATCCTTTATAATAGCGTTTTGCCTTTTAATATATCTGATTTCTTTTAACAAAGGTAAAAGCTTCTTGAGGAAAGCTCAATAAATGTTCAATCTGAGATTCATACCAATCTACCATACATGAAATTTAATAGGAGTAAAGAATCACAACCATCTCTAAGGGAATGGCTGATAAAATCTTCCCTGATCTCACCGGATGAAGTGTTCTCTTTAATCTGAACTCATTTGGAAACTGCCCTAAGATACTCTTTCATATGCTTAGGCCTTATCTTTGGAACTAGAGTTTTAGCTTCTCAAAGGCAAAGATTAAGTCTTACTCATTGACTTCACACACTGTCCAGCAAATAGTGTAAGTCCTGTAATCAATGAACATGGAGAAAAACGCGCAGTTCGGAGGGACTGGGGGGAGAAAGACCTTGAGAAAGAAAATGAAGAGGGTATAAAAGCAATGAAGGGGCACTTTGCCTTAACACCCGCTTTTGAGAACTAAGAGCAGCTAGTATTTCAAAGCCTTGGTAGCGGCCTTTCGCTGTCTTTTTAAAGAGGTGTGGAAGGACATCACCAGCGCGACCGCCCATTGGCTGGGAGGCAAGACCGCGAGCGCAGCCGGCGGCGCTAGGCGGAGGGGGCACGGGCCGGCGCGCCGTCCTCTGGCCGGCAGGGGGCGCCCTGCCGAGCGCTGGGTCC